CCTCCTCCTCCTCCTCCTCCTCCTCCTCTTCCTCCCTCCAGCCTTTCTGCTCTCAGGTTTTGAGAGTTGCGGACGCGTACTTCAGAGAGGCGCCGCGTTCGCGAGCCAAGCTTTCCCCTGTCCACTGCTTTCGCTGTCGTGGATGGGGCCCGATGTGCTTCCAGGGCCGCATCTCCCCCTCTGGGGATGTGGCAAGTGCGGGGCATTTGACAACTGGGCAAGCAGAGTCAAGTGCCGAGGATGTGGAAATTCCTGCCCCCAACGTGTGCTCGTGGCGGCCCAAGCAGCTGCCAACCGCGCCAAGGGAGGTGGAAAGGGGAGCCCTGCTGCTGCCACTGGAGGGAAGGGGCGATGGGCCAATGGCCCGCCTGGAGGTCCAGGCGACGCCCAGGCCAAGACCATCCAGGCAATGCAGAAGCAGTTGGACGCCCTGCTCAAAGACAAGGAGAAGGACACCAAGCAGCAGGTTCAGTCCGCCCCTCCAGGTGGTGGCGGCGGCAGTGGCAACGGTGGCCCGTCGTTCAAGGAGGTTCTCAGCTTCCTGCAGGCAAAGGGCATACAGGGCGAGCTGGTGGCCTCGGTCACAGCTGCGCAGCAACGAGAGGTCGCCGAGCACCCACCCTCCGTGGTCACGGCTCGCTGGCGGGTCGAGAACCTGCGAAAGAAGAACGAGAAGTTCGAGCAGCAGCTACGGAAGCTTCAAGAGCGTCGAGCTGCCCTCGATGAGGAAGAGGCAGCCATCAAGGCCTCTGTGGAGTCGATTCGCCGAGACCTGTCACAAGCTGAAGGAGTCTATGCCAAGGTGTCGACCACGGACCTCGGGGACTTGGTCAAGATCACCGAGGCCGCCTTGGACGAGTCGCTCCACGACGACGCCGAGGTCAGGGCAGCCTTGGCCGTGCTGGACAAGCGCCAGAAGGAAGCAGTGGCCGCTCGTGGCGCTTCTGCTCTGCGTTCTGGTGGTCCAGGCCGCAACGGTCCTCCTGGCGGCGAAGCAGATCCAGGAGCTCGCAGTGCCGAAGGTGAGCGAGGAGGTGAAGGCATCCCAGCAGCGGATGGAGATGGAGACGACATTGACATGGAGCTGCTGGGCCAAGACGACATCGACATCGAGGCGCGCACAGAAGACCTCAGGAAGGCCGCGGAGGAGCTCAGGCAAGCTTCCCCAGGAGAAGCTCAGGATGCCGCCAAGCGCAAGTACGCACAGGCTGCCGCTGCCTTGGGGATCAAACGTGCGCGGAGACTTTGACGACCTCGAGCGCTTCTGGGACCACAACGTCGTGGACGTGGATTGGTCGGAGGTGATCGGCTTTGCGGTGCCGTCCTTGCTCCCGCGGCCTGTGCAGGCCCTATCGGGGGCATTGGCTGAGCCGATCTGGCGTCGAGGGGGCGCGACCCAGGCCCGTGCTGGTGAAGCTCTCGACCTCCAGGCTTGGCCTGCGCTGGGGCTGCACGTGGCTCGGCCACGACGGGGCTTCGGCCCGAAGGGCAGGGGGGCAGGGGATTCAGCCCCCGATCGTCGAACCCCCCTGCCCGCATGCACGGGGAGTTCGAGTGCCAGCAGCGGCCCTTCGGCGTCATCGCTATTGCAGGTTCCTGAGGTGGCTCCCCAACTGGCCCGCTCCTCGGGGTTGGGGACGCGGACAGCTCAGAGGGCGTCGACATCTACGGCAGCGGGGTCGGCTTCTTCGGCGGCGACGGCTGGTTCTTCGCGTGGCGTTAGGACGCAACAGTCGTCGCCGCCTGCCCTTCCCACCCCCAGGGCACCCCTTCCACAGGAGGCGGGGGTCTCAGCGCGTGGGGAGGGGGGGCAGGATGTTTTGCCGGCGCAGCTTCCAGACGCTGAAGCGAGATTGGCTGGCAGCGTGCGTGGCCACCTTCGTCCCCAAGTTGAGCCAGATGCGGATTCGAAAACACATTGGTTGAAATCCGACGGGAGGGTGGAAGTACCTCCCGCTCGTAATCTTCTTGCGGACGATCGTGACTCTGGTGTAGCGCGGGGATCAGCAGACTTGTGCATTTTTGGAGCCAACGTCAACAGCTGGTCTACGGCAGACACTGTAGTGAACTGGGTCCGAGATCAAGCTGACGTCGGAGGATCTGGGGCGGCGTCTTGGGGTTTAGTCCAAAGCAAGTTCCAGGTGGTCACGCTCCAGGAGACAAGGTTGAAGTCCCCCGGCAAGATCATCTCGGCCCAGAGTTGGGCCTGCAGGAATGGGTACCAGGTGTCTCTCGGGAAGGCCCTCAGCACTGGCGACGGGCCCTTGCAAAGCTCTGGAGGAGTCGGTATCTTGGTCGCTGGGGAGCTCGCTTCGAGGCCCTTGGATCTTCCAGGATTGGGCAGGTTCGACGGGAGGATCGTAGGTCGGGTCATCAATGCGGGGTTCGACCAGGGCCTTGAGATCTACAGTGTCTATCTCGTCAACGACATAGGCGTGACGGGCGAGAATTTAGAGATTTTGGAAGTTCTGGGAGCGCTTCTTTTGTGCAGTAAGCGTCCGTGGATTGTGCAAGGTGATTGGAATTTCACGCCCGCGGCTCTCCAGCTATCAGGTTGGATACAGCATGTGCACGGTGTGCTAGCTGCTTCTGGCCAGGCAACCTGCTCGGCCTGCGCTCCTAGGACTGCCAGGGGAGAAGATATGGAGGAGGTTGAGCTGACGGAGCATGACGGGGGAGGAAGGGAGCTTGACTTCTTCGTCGTGTCATCGGCTATCAGTTCGTGCATCAAAGATGTCCAGGCTATCCGAGGAGCGCCTCTATTTCCCCATTGCCCTGTGCTGCTTCGGTTGGGGAACCTCTGCCAGACGGCGGTAGTCCAGCAGCAGACGCGTTTCAAGCCGTTCAGCACCGCGCTCATGGGGCCGCTGCCGCAGGAAAGGGACATCCAATGGAGCGACCCTCTAAACTCAGATTTGAACACGCTCGCTCGGGAGTGGTTCGGGGAAGCCGAAGCTCGCCTGGTTGAAATTCATGGAATAAGTGATCAGAAAGGGTATGTAGGTCGCTCCGCTGGGCCCAAGTCTCGCAAAGTTCCCTTAGTGGCGCTGCTAGAGCGAGATCACCGCCGGCGTTTTTCGAAGCAGACTGTCTGCTGGATCTCGTTCGAGGCCCTGCTCAAGAAGGCAAAGGCAATCAGTGCTGGGAACCCAGGTGCCAAGGGAAGAGCTCTTTTGGGATCCTGGAAGCTTAAGCTGTTCGACATTTTGGAGGACCTCCAGCTGACGGAAGATGGGCCCACAAAGGCCCAGTTGCACACCATTGTTAGGGCGGCATCGGGAGAAGGTTCCTGGAACGACGACGTCAATGGGGCCATCTGCAAAGAGTGCACTCGTCGCCAGAGGCTGGACGCGGCTTCGCAGCTTGCTAAGTGGAAGGAATGGGCCAAGAGTGCCGTCTCTGGAGGAGGTAAAGCGGCTCATGCCTTCTCCAAGCAACATGTCTCGTGTGGCTTTTCGCGAGATATGTCGGATGATCCTCGGCTTCCAGTGGCTGGTCAGGCCGCAGTGCAAGAGCTTGTCGATGCGTGGCATCCGATGTGGTTTCGAGCTGGCCGCGGGCCCGCACCGAGCTCCTGGGAAGTTCCTGCCGACGAGCCTGCCCTTTCCCCGCTCAGACTGGAGGATTTACATCGAGTTTGCAAGATGTACGGGCCCGCGGCGGGCCTAGGCTGGGATGGATTTAACCCGAGGTGGGTATTGCAGCTGCCCGAAAGTTACCAGTTTCGGCTTCTGGAGATTTTGACGCTCTTCGAGGTCGACCCTGGGGCCGTCGTGATGTTCCTGACCAATGTGGTTTTCTTGGACAAACCAACGGGAGGGGTCAGGCCGATCGGATTGCTCTGCCTTTTCACGAAGCTCTGGAGCCGTTTGAGGCAGCCGTATTGCCGCTCATGGGAAAAGTCCCACGTGTACGAGTTTTTCTGGGGCTCAGGGCCCGACACAACGTGCGAGAGGGCCGGATGGGTCCACAACTTACTCGGGGCGCATTGTCGTAAAGCAGGTTTCGAATCAGCGTCGGCTCTCTTGGATTTGGCTAAGTTCTATGAGAATGTCGACCACGGGGACCTATTGGTTGCAGCTCAACGGTTTGGTTTCCCAGTTAGGCTGGTCAAAGCGTACTGTACCGTCTATGCTGGCTACCGTGTGCTTCTTTACGGGGGAGCTTCGTCGGCCGTCGTCGAATCGAACGGGGCAATCGTGGCTGGGTGCTCGGGGGCTACGACTTTCGCCAAGATGTTGCTACTAGGACCGCTATTGGAGGCCCGTGAGAGCAGGAACTTGTTGTATGTGCGTAGTGTGGTGGACGACATCACTGTTCAGTGTTGCGGGCCCAAGCATCAGGTGGCGGCCCAACTGGCTGGTGGAGTAGAGTCTCTGATCAAGAGTTTCAAGCAGCTGCAGCTCCCTGTGGCGTTTAAGAAGTGTGCCTACCTTTGCTCGAAGGAGGTCGAGGCGCACCTGTCCAAAGGCCTGGTCCCTCCCCACCTCTTGCCGCACCGACACGGCGAGGAATCTTGGGACCAACGCTACCTTGGGAGGCCTCCGCAGGATCGGTATTCAGAACTCAAGGTTTGCAGGTGCTTCGCGCAGGGCCAGGAGGCTCAAGATACTACAAGGAGCTGGAGCCGACATCGGGATGGTTCACAGGATGGGGCCAGTGGCATCGGCCCTATGGGGATCCTCGGTCTCTGGGGTGGCCCCCACAAAAATGGCTGGGCTCCGCATCGGTGCTGCTAGTTCCCTAGGCAGGCTCCCTAAAGGTGCTTCGGTTGGGCTCAGGATGTACACGTACGGGCTAGGGGCCAAGGTAGACCCTCTGGTGGTTTACGTGGGGCACGTGCTTTTCATGTGGGCGACCGCTGTTTGGGAAGCTGTCCCTCACGTTCAGGTGTTGGCCAATACCATGAGGGGCTCGATCGCCAAGTTTCAGAATTCAGCTCAGCCCTGGAGGTCAGCGTCTTCCCCCAGCGACGTCGCGCTTTTAACGTTGCGGGGCATAGGCTGGGACTTTGTAGACCAGCACACCATCAAAGATGACTTGAACGTTGTGCATGACCTGTTCAGGCTCTCCCCGATGCAGGTCAGGACTATGATCAGGCAAGGTGCCGTGCGAGCGTCAGATAGGCATGCCCTTCTCTTGCAGAATGGCCTTGATGGGCCACCTGTTTACCCTATCTTCTGGGACGGTATTTCCAGGATGTTCAAGGAGAAGTCCGAAACCTGGGGGAAGCACCATCCGAGATGTTTAAGAGGTTTGGTCTCGGGAGTTCACTGGCCCCAAGCCCGACTTCATGCTCACAACCTCCACGATGATGATCTTTGTCAAGTGTGCAAGGGGGCCCCAGGTACTTTGTGGCACCGTCAGTACGAGTGCCCTGCGCATGAGGTCCTGCGGCGAGACCATGCGAGTGCTCACTTGTGTAGGTGTGCGCAGAGAGTGAAGCAGTTCGGGCCGCTCATGGCGGAGAGGTTCGCGAGGTGCATCTTTCCTCACCCTCGCTCGCTCTTCGACGTCGAGGAGCCCACGCAAACAGTTCACTGGCACGAGAGGCCCGAGACGGGGCTATTGACGGGGTTGTTATTCCTGGACGGGTCGGCCAAATACATGGGCCTCGATGGGCTCACTCGGGCTGGTTGGAGTATCGTATCGGTCGACAGGTTTGGGGAGTTGCTCTCGGCGGCCTACGGTCCAGTTCCTCTGAGCGCGGCCCCGCAGCAAACTAGTAAAGATGGAGAAGACTATGCTGTATACATGCTTACGCAAGTAGGTCTTCCCCCGTTTCAATGCTATATAGATTGCCAGAGCACTCTGGATTCGCTGTCTCGGGGCCCTGGGTTCGCGGAGGGCCCTGGAGCCCCCCGCGGTCATCTTTGGGGCCCCGTGTGGAGCTCGTTCACTCTCAGCGATTTCGAGTGTTTCAAGACGCTCGGCCACGCCACGGCGGCCGATGTCGAGGCTGGCAGGAGCAGTGTTTGGGAAAGACGGGCCAATGGGCTCGCAGATAAGTTCGCCAAACTAGGAGCCGAGTGTCACGGGGTCAGCGACGAAGAGGCCAGCCTGTACAGAGGTCTCAGGTGCCTCGCCCGCGAGGCCTGCAGGTGGGCTGGATCGGTAGAGGTGCTGATGTCCAACGGGCCCCGCGACACAACGGGCCTAGTGCCCAGGTCGACAGGCAGCGATGGCCAGGGGCAGCACTCACAAGAGGCTGATGCCCTCGGCCAGGCCCTGGGCGACGATCAAAGGGAGGTGGGAGGTTCTTCGGACTTGGGGGAGGAGTGGCGTTCATTCTCTCGGCAAGTGTTTCGGGCCAACGGCCATGCTTTTTTGACCAGCCCTGTCTTAGAACCTCCTGGAAACCCCAGGGGTAGGATCCAATTTTGTTGTCGGTGCGGATCGTTTTTCTCTGGGGCTCCCAATGCTGGAGCTAAAGGCCTGTGCAGGCCCAAACTCACGACGGGTGGAATTAATGACCAGCTGAGAAGGATTCGGCAGGGCAAGTTTCCCTCGTACAAGAAGGACCTGAAGAATTTGACTCTGGGGGCTCATGTGAGCCTGAGCCTCGCCGAGCGGAGGGTCTTGGCTCAGTCGCTGGAAGAGGATGGCCAGGCCCCCCAGGGAGTTGCAGGTCCTGCTTCTGTTGGCTCCGCGGAGGGCTTCGCCCCGCGAGAGCAGGTTTTGGATTCGTTCGGCCTGGCAGAGTCGGATTTACCCTGGGTCAAG